TTAATTCCATAAATATTGATGAGACAAATGGATCCATTTCCTCTTCATTGTTTTTATTTAGCAGGAAGTAATCTAAAAGGTTTTCATTCATTGGATTTTTATTCAAACCTTTAACTCAGAAGATCTTTTTTTTTCTCTAACCGCCATCGTTAATGAGGCTAAACGGTTGCAGTAGAAGGTCAGCGGAGCTCCTCCCCTAACAGCTGCTGGTCCTTCCAGGTGCTGAGGTGGTGAGGCCGTACACCCCAGTGGACCAGAGTCTGGTTGCTGCTTCGCCGCCGTCCTCCCAGGGGTCCGACCTCTACCTCATGGTCAAAGTCTACCCTGATGGCGTCCTCAGCCCGTACCTGGACAGCCTACAGATCGGTACGTCTCGTCTGAACGGGGGAACCTAAAGCTCAGATAATGACTGGAAGCTCCTTTATCTTCCATTCTTCTGGTTCAAACCAGCCTTACATCTTTCTGTCTTCATTGGTTTCTTCAGGTTATTAACTTTAGAACTAGAAGCTGAAAAAAACATGGCTGCCCTGATTGTTTTGTCTGTGATTTAAAGTTCTGATCCGTTCAGGATTTTAAGGGAGGAGACGGTCGTCTCTGTAAAACCAGGATAGAGTTTCATTCCTTTTTAAAGCTCCTTTATCTGCTTCGTCACACTGATGATGGATGATGGCCTTTAGAGCCATGTTCCATATTCAGCTTTTAGTCCAACCCAGAATCAAGACGCTCTCCTTCCTCCAGAAGCCTGATAGCTAAAAATCACACAATAGTGACATTAGTGCAGCTGTGAGGTGTCTATACACGTCTTATGGTGCACAGCAGCCTCTGATTGGTCTGGACTGATGATGCGGCTTCGTCGTGAAACACAGACAGAAGAGGCAGCTTCACTTTGAAGGCTGCTTTTCTGTTTTTTTGTTATTTCTTCTCATATTTGCCTTTAAAGGTTTAAACAAGCAGAATAAGGGACCTTTTTTCATCTTTAGCTTCTGTTAGCATCAGTATTACGACCTTTTCCTGTTGATGTTCTTCAAACCGAACGTTTATTTTTCTGCTTCCATCTAAGCTGCGTTTCTTGTGGTTTCCAAGGTGAAAATGTCTCGGTCAGCGGTCCGGAGGGTCCTTTCAGTCTCCGCCCCCTGCGTGATGTCACTCACCTCTACCTGTTGGCAGCAGGGACAGGATTCACGCCGATGGCTCGTCTCATCAGCCTGGCGCTGCGAGAAAGTGACTCCATCAGGTCAGGAAGCGCTTCGCTCTGAGCGTTTCTGATGGAGTTCAGATGTTAAACAGACGATCCTTCAATCTGTGTTCACAGCAAAATACAGCTGCTGTTCTTCAACAAGAGGGAGGAGGATGTGCTGTGGCGCCACCAGCTGGACGATCTGGCAGCTAAAGAGGAACGGTAAGGAGAGGATGGAGGGAGGAGAGGTCAGAGGTCAGGGTTTTCCTGGTCTGACTGTGTGCGGTTCAGCTTTCAGGTGGAGCACGTCCTCTCAGAGCCGTCTGACAGCTGGAGCGGCAGGAGGGGTCGGGTGGATGAGGCCGCGCTGACGACCTTCCTCCTCAGGCCGCATGGATCCAGATGTTACGCTTGTGTCTGTGGTCCTTCTGGCTTCACAGAGCAAACCACCGGGTAGGAGCTGATGAGCAACGGGAATCTAACCCCAACACGTTTTAGATGTTAGAAATGGAAAGGTCTTTGTTCTGTCGGTTTATTAGGAGGAAATGAATTTGCTACAAACAGGACTCAGTCACCTACGACGAGTATTAGGGCCAGGCTGGAGATTAGTTTCTCTATTTCAAGAACAAAGTCTTAACATTACAAGAATAAAGTCATAAAATTTATAAGAATAAAGTTGGAAAATTACAAGAGTAAAGTTGTAATATTATGAGAAACATTTAGAGTGATGACAGAGAATCTTCAGCAGCATATTGCAATGCATTATGGGATATTTGCCTGTTTTCTAAACTAAAACCAGGCTTTGTTGGGCTGCTGGATTAAACCTGGAACTAAACGCTATTTCTGACATTTTCAATTGAAAAAGCTTCCTGGATGGAAGAGAAACAAAGTCCAGTGGATTGTTTTTTTAAAACTTTTTTGGAATGACTGTGACCTGGATGACTGAGAATCTCCACCAGCAGTAGGAGCTGGATGTTATGAGGCCATGAAAATCAACAAACAGCCTTGTTTGTGTTTCAGGGACTCCCAAAGCTCGGCCTCTGCAGCCTCAGAGGATCTAAGGAGGAGGCTGCTGCTCTACAGCTTTACAAGCAGAGCAATAGTGAAATATTTACCTCTGTACCATGGAAACAATCTGTCGCTGTAGAAATGCATTAGAAATCAAAGTAAAGTCATTCCAAAAAAATTATAAATCAATCCACTGGACTTTGTTTCTAAGTTTGAAGACTTTTCTCTTCCATCCAGGAAGCTTGTTCAGTTCAAAATGTCAGAA